TCCATCTTGAGCTGCAGGAACGGTTTGGCAGCACTCATAAATGCAACATCCAAATCCCAGTCAGATAGGAGAGACAGGTACATTTCAACGCCGCTCCGATCTCGAGACAGGTAACTAACACTGAAATTCTGCTTCCTATTTCACATTAAAGACAAGATGTTTGAGCCACACATTGAAACTTGTTCAAGTGAACTCCAAAAGAGATGCTCAACCTGATGCCTCTTACCCATTTAGATTAAAGGCTCTGATGAGGATATGCTGCAGCACCTCCAGAGATGTTATCTGAGGATCAACAGCAAATGAGCGAAACTCCACAGGAAGTGCTCCATCACATTTCTGAAAGAAATCCCATCACAATCTCTAAAATACTTCAACAAATTTTCATGTTATATACAAAATAGTGTTTGTGTTAATATAAGTCTATAATTCTAAATTAAGTTATTCGGGAATGATACAGAAGCATGAAAAGCTAAACATTCATTACATCTAAATGGAGGGGATTACTGCTTCACCCGCCGTTATTCATTAGTTTCCCCACAAATCGGGTAAGTCATTCATAACTGTCACATCTAGAGGTTATTTGATCAACATGAAACGCAAGGATGTGGACTGAAATGAATGGATTATGCAGGAGTTTGTATGCCTACAAAACAAGAGTTAAAAAAATCCCAAAAAGTTGTGTTTCATTCCACATTTTTAATGGTGGAATTAAATAGTAATATATATTTATGAATTTGATTTGTAATTTTATCCATCCATCTTCTTCCGCTTATCCGTGGTCGGGTGGCAGGGGTAGCAGCTTCAGTGAGGAGGCCCAGACATCTCTCTCCCCAGCCAGCTCCTCCGGGGTGGTCCAAGACGTTCCCAGGCCAGCCAAGAAACATCCTCTCCCGCGTGTCCTGGGTCTCCCCCTGGGCCTCCTCCCAGTGGGACCTGCCTGGAGCACGTCACCAGGGAAACGTCCAGGAAGCATCCTAATCAGATGCCCGAGCCACCTTAACTTTCTCCTCTTGATGTGAAGGAGCGACTCTACCCTGAGTCCTCCCTGGATGACTGAGCTCCTCACCCTATTTCTAAGGGAGAGCCCAGACACACTACGGAGAAAACTCATTTCAGCTGACTGTATCCGGGATCTCATTCTTTCTCATTCTTTACTCAAAGCTAATGACCATAGATGAGGGTGGGAAAATAGACCGACCAGCAAATTGAGAGCTTTGCCTTTTGGCCAGTGGTGTCAAAAGTACACACATTTGTTTCTTAAGTAGAAGTATAGATACTGCAGTTTAAAAATACTCTGGTAAAAGTTGAAGTATCAACTTGACCCCTCGCGACCCCACTGGGGATTAAGAGTGTTAGAAGATGGATGGATGGTTGGATAACCCAAATGATCAGCTGGAGGAAGATGATTTTTCTGGTCTTGTTGGGTCTCTCCTTCCATTGCACACACCACACTATGCCTAGTCATTTGTTTTCAGTTCCATGCACAGATAGTATTTTGCTTGTATAAAATTGGAATATGTGGATGTTTATTAAGTGTAGTAATGATGAGTGAAATGCTGTGATCAGCAGCAGGTTATTTAAAATGCAGCTGATTCTACTTTCCTGCTTCATTCCCGCACCCCATTGAAGTGATAGGATACATAAGAACACAGAAATTATTGAACAACTAGGTTTAAAACAAATATTAATATTTACTCAGTTTGTCAAACCAGATTTTCAACTACCCGATGATTGCAATATGAAAGAAAAAATTTACAATTTGAATCTCTGTAATATCCACTGGTCATGGAATTAAAAAAACAAAACAACAACAACAATACTGCAACCAGCAAAAGCAGATTCCCTCTTCTCAGCAGAAAACAACAACAATGGATGTCGTGTGCGCGCATGCACGTAGTTTCTCACCAAGGAGATGACGTCAGTGCCCTTTTATTGTGATCATTGTGAATGTCTATAGATCACAAATGAATGTTGTTTACGTTTCAGCTGTGGCCTTCCAATATGATCAATGAAATGAGCTGATAATGAGAAATATCGATGCGGACCTCGCGCTGCGACAGCAAACAAAGCATGCAGCAAACGGACAATAAGGACGTGGACAGTCTCTGGATTCAGTTAGCTATAGTCGGACCTATAGGGATCGTTGTGTCCAGAATAACCTGCAGTGGCTAAGCGCTGTTAACGACGTAAACACAACGAGGACCGGCCGGGGGTTAACGGCGTAGTTAGCTCTGGTCGGCAGAAATGTGCCCATTAAACAGCCTACCTTGACTTTAACTCGAACAACCCCCCTCTCCTCTTCGCCCGCCATTTTAAAGATCACCTTTGGAAACAGAACAGCTCGTTTTAGGATGTCTCTCCTGTAGCATTGACTCGATCAGCGATACATGATGGTGCTACTGTATGAACGAGAGAGCTCTTTCTGTTTAGGTCTATACGGGAAGTTTGTGTTGGCAACATCGCCATCTGCTGATTAAGGTATCTTCTTCTTATGTGACGTTTAATGGCGAATGGCAAACAATTTAAAAGTGCATTACCGCCACCTACTGGTATGAATTGTGGAAAAAAATGACAGTATACTAAAAAATCAATGTATCTACTTTACTTTATATCAATAATATAAGAACCCAACGTCATCTATATTTATCTAATATAATTACTATCTATGATTAACAATATCATATAAATTTCAGTTCATGCAGCTCTCTTGATATATTTGATTCCCTTGCCCTGATTATTTATTTCATGCTTTTCTGGGCCCCATGAGAACACACTTGCCCCCTCCTGGCCTCCTGGTAAATTTGGTCCAGATCCGCCGCTGTTCCTCACCTTCACTAGACCTGGATATACTTAAGTATATTCTGCTGTAAGATTAGTCATATATTTTTGTTTTTTTACACAAGGAATCAACCTCTGCTGTTTCACAGGATGCACAGCTTTGAGTGGTAACTAGGTGACTGCCAGAGAGTAACCCAGAGAAACTTATCAGACTGACCCAATCAGCTCTCTGACAACCAGTCGCCTGGAACGCTGGTTGAACAGAGCATCTCTTTGGACAGATACGCTGCACAGGTTTCACAAGTAACCTCCTCCTCACACCCCGCTCTCTCTTGTTGTCTGCGCAATCGAAGTAGTTCTTATCCACACATGATGCATGAATTATTTCCTGCTCGCTACCCAAATTAAAAAACACCACGTGGCATAGTCTAAAATCCAGGATCATTTATCTGACTCGTGGGCATCCATGAACAACTATCTATATCAGGGAGACTCCCAGAACTTCCGGGAGACTTGGGATGTCTGATAAGGGGATTTACATTACATTTACATTACATAATAATATCTAAATATTTTATGTTCCAGATGCTCCTGTTCTAACCTCCATCTTCAACCTTGCAACAATGCTCTCCCAACTAAATTCTTTGAGTCCCAAAAACTTTTCAGCCCCTCTGGCAATGATCCGGATTTCTCTTTCTTATGCCTGGCTTGTTCTGTACAGTTGATGACATAGGCAATGAATACATTAAGTTTCTCAACTGTTGGAGTGAAATTATCTTCTCTATCTACTTTATTTTTGCTTTGCTATCAGATTCTAAACTTGATTCATTTCTCCTGCCCTTTGTCCTTGAACTCTTTTCAATGCTTCTGAGTAGCTTATATTTCTTGTTGTTTTAACCTGTTGTATTTCAACTCCCTTCTTTCTCAACTCACATTCTCCATGGTTAACTCTGTGCTGGCATCCACAGTTGCAAAACCTTTCTTCTGCTTCTTCCCGGCACACTTGATTCTGTGTTCTTCTCTGCAGTTTAAACATCTTTGGTGTCCCCTACAAACTGCTACCACCAGGAGCATGAGCGGATATAGGAAATGTGGGGCCCCAGGCTAAGACAGACATGGGGCCCTCTGAATTGAAAAGACAACTCATAAAAGAGACCCATTATACAGATACAGAAATAATAATAGGATAGACATACATTATTTGTTCTACCTTTTTTCCCTCTCTTCTTCTCCCATTTCTTTCTTATTTCCTCTCTATGTTTTCTTCTGTCCCCTTTTCTTTTCATATTGGCAATGTGCTCAGCTGTCTTTTAATGCTATCTCACAAGGAATTCATTTTTTTTCTAATCGCTAAGCCCATTGTAACTTAGCTGATTGTGCCTCCCTGTGTTTCCAATAAGGCAAAAGCAAAAGAAAATAACTCAGTCCTGCTTTTCCCTGTAGACAAGCTATGATCTGTGTATCTGTTCTCCATTTTTATTTGAATGAAATAATAGCAGCATGAATCAAGACAGCAGACAAGGGAGAGAAGAGCAGAAGGCAGGGGTTATGGACCTGCTTGCTCTGGAGAGCAGAGTTTCATGCTTTTTTTATATGTTGTTGCCAAAGTCTGTAGTAACAAAAAAAGTCGCTAGATTTGGTACTAGGTGCTTTTTTTTTTTTTAAATTTAAGTGCTAGAGGGGTCTGAAAAGTCGCTCCTCTGAGAATTCTGACTTTTTTGTTGTCATAATTCAGTCAGAATTCTGAGAAAAAAGTCAAAATTCTGAGATTAAAGTCAAATTTCTGAGAAAAAAGTCAGAATTCTGAGAAAAAAGTCAGAATTCTGAGAAAAAAGTCAGAATTCTGAGAAAAAAGTCAGAATTCTGAGAAAAAAGTCAGAATTCTGATTTTTCCCCATACTAAACTGAAATAAAATGTAAAAATCAGTTAACTTTATTTTTTTCCAGTGGCCCTAATCCTCTTCCGTAGTAATGTGAAGTTACGCTTTCTGTGATATTTTTAATAGTTTGTATCATTACCTTTTGTAATGTATAAATGCTGAATATAGGTTGAATAAAAAATGATATTTGTCAGCAAACACGCCCTCAGGTCATGAGACTGGCTCATGGACTCTTATTGTGGTGCATGCCGGGAAATGTATTTTAACGTTGTACGTTTCCATTGGAGTCATGGTTAAAACCGGTTCACAGAAAACTTCGTTTCCCAGCAGCGCCTCTGCTCCTTCCGAACGATCACTTCCGGACAGAAAAATGGCACAGATGAGCTCTGTCAAAAATCGGTTATGTCGTGTTGTAAACAATTTTGAAAAGTATTATGATTGAATTGGAATATTGGCTGCTTCAGGAGGCTTTTAGTGAAGTCAGGGCGTTTACCTAAACTATAGCAAAGTCAAACTTGGTTATACGGAGCTAAGGAGCTTGTTGCCATCAAAAGACTGCAGGTCAGTCCCCCTGAATCAGCCTAACTGCTGGTAACCCATGATAGTAAATAGTTTTTTACTTGGACCCTTTGTTGAAATCCTGCTTAGGCAGAATATTTCGGTGGAAAATTTGCGATGGAGGAAGTCGATAAGATCCTTATTCATGCTCTCAGACAAGTCGGAACGTAAGTCTCCATTCTTTCTTGCTTGCTTCCTTTCTACAGACGCGTTAACAGGAATGTAGCGATATTTACAGCTGAATGTTATACTTTTGCCCCACAGTGAGGTAGGTGAGAACATTGAGCGAGTCGGCCAATTCACCAGTGAGCTGATCGTGGAGGCGGTGGTCAGATGTATCCGGGTGATCGATCCGGGTCCCGGCGGCGTGCTTCCCACCACCCTGCCGCCGGGCATGTCTGCCCGCTTCAGAGTAGGCATGAGTCTTGCCCAGGCCTGCCAGGTAAGATCTTCAGCCTCAAAATCTGTTTCCAAAGGGTCACAAATTAATATAGGTCTGAAGAAATTATATGTGCAAAAAGAACCGGTGCCTATTGAGCATATTTGATTGTATTGCTTATTGTTAACTAGCTGGATTTAAATAAAAAAATCAAAAAGACACGACAAAGAAAAGCTAAGCAGCATTGTTAAGAAATATCCTAATTTACTTTTAAATCTTTTTATAACTGAAGTTCAGAATGAGCAAAACTTAGTCTATGCTTTAGGAAACAGTGACACTCGTTGAGTCTCTCTGATGCAAATGCTTTGTAGAATCTTATAAATATCTCTCTGCATCATCTCCAATCATTTGATGTAAACAGTTACAGTTTTCTTGATTGTTTACTCACATTACTGAAGGAATGCCTCATGTTCTTGGAACTCTACACAGAAATAAAAAAACATACACAATGGGCAAAACCCCTCATTCCTCCTGCAAAATGAAACATTACTTTCAAAACAATGTTTTTTTTAATTTTCTCAAAATGGTATTTTGTTTTCAAATGACACACAAACTGTCATATGAATAGACATTCATAAGAACCAGTTTAACACTGGTGTGCTCAATAAAAAACACTTCTTCATTCATTATAATCACCTTTTTTTGTTCAGTGTTGCTCTTACTACAGACAGTACATACATAAGTGCGCTGTAACATTTAAAAAAAATATTGTGTTTATACTCAGAACACAAAAATACACAGTAACAAAAATATTTTATTTGTCCCACCAAAACAATGTGCACCATACCATACATCCCTATCTCAGCCAAGACAAAGTTGTACATACATTACATACAAACCAACAGAAGAATTTACTGTGCACATTTATGCTACGTTCATACTGCAAGCAGCAGAAGCAGCAAAAACGTGCGTGCTGCTTCATTTTTGATGCTTCTACAAGTTTTGTTCTGATGCAGTGCTGAAGCCCCTTGGCTGCTCTAGCTGTGCGGTCGAAAAGTGGATCTGATGCGTGAGCTATCCTATCCTTTCTTTGCCTGTAACAATGTTATATATTTGCTGCACTTTATCTGTGCAGTCAGTTCATCAAGATTATGATCCTGCCTTAAAATATTATTTTGCTGTGAGCAAGGATCAGACCACCGTACACTGGCGATGCTCTGTCACTAGGAATCCCGTTCAACAGCTGCCTCTGGCCCATTCGCCACTTCACCGTTTTCGCTGTGGCTTGGAAGGCGTTTTCCGTGTACGTAATCCAAACTGCAGGCACGAGAATAATAGAATCGAACATGTTTTTCCGTCAAATTTCAACATTTTAAGTTAATTTTAAGCCAATTCCTAGACAAAAATCACGCGAGAATGTGTACAAAACAATAAAAATGGCAGCGACAACGCTTTTGGGTTGTTTTTCTTCGAATATAGGTGATTTTTGAATGATTATGCGAATAAAATGATACAGAAACACAGGTACAATAGCGCTTTCTAGCTTGTTTGTCGTTTTGGTAACTACATCAAAGTTACCGCTAGGTGGACATACATCACGCCATCTGGAGGAAAATCACCCGGCTTTTTCAAATCACGCGAGAATGTGTACAAAACAACAAAAATGGCGCCGGCAACGCTTCTGGGTCGTTTTCATCGAATGTCGGTGATTTTAAAGTAATTTTGAGTGATAAATAATTTATTTTTTTGCGATCATTGCACTTGCCTGGCGGGCAAATGCAATGAAATTTGTACTCTCCCAGCAATAAAAACATCGAGCCCTGTGTGATATATCCAGCCCTTCTACATGAGACTTGATAAAGGTTGAAACAAACTGGCATCAGAACAAGAGCATGTTCCAAGGACTTTTCATTACCTGCCCTTGCAACATCAGACCTTTTTCCAGGAATATCAAGATAAGTCATATCTAAACCTTTTATTTAGGCATACCTATTGAACAACCAGATATCAATCGGGTCCTAGTTCCTGAGCTGAGAACGGGTCATAACCATTTTCCAACAAGGCAAGGCAGAGCCTATTTATATTGTCCATTCCCCAACAGACTCCTTATATTGCAAAGCTTACTACACTGTGTGCAGAATTAGTAGGTAAATTAGTATTTCGACCACATCATCCTCTTTATACATGTTGTCCTACGCCAAGCTGTATACACCTAAAAGCCAACTACCAATTAAGTAAATCAGGTGGTGTGCATCTCTGTAATGAAAAGGAGTGTGGCCCAATGACATCAACACCCTATATAAGGTGTGCTTAATTATTAGGCAGCTTTCTTTCCTTTGGAAAATTCACAATCAAACGGTTCATGGCAAATAGCCAACAGGGGCACAAGAAGCCTTTAGAAAAAATAACTCCCCATGAATTGAGAGGGATCAAGCGTGAAGCTGCCAGGAAACCATTAGCCACCAGTTGTGCCATATTTCAGAGCAGCAACATGTCTAGAGTGCTGAGATGCACAAGGTGCTCAATACTTAGGGACCTGCCCAAGGTAAGGAAAGCCGAAAAAAGGCCACCTTTGAACAAGATACACAAGACAAAACGTCAAGATTAGGCCAAGAAATATCTTAAGACTGATTTCTCCAAGGTGTTTTGGTCTGATTAAATGAGAGTGAGTCTTGATGGGCCAGATGGATGGGCATGAGGCTGGATCAGTAAAGGGCAGCAAGTTCCTTATCGACTCAGATGACAGCAAGGTGGAGGTGGGGTACTGGTACTGGCTGGTATCATCAAAGATGAGCTTGTGGGACCTTTTTGGGTTTATGATAGTCAAGATCAACTCCCAGACCTACTTCCAGTTTCTGGAAGACACCTTCTTCAAACAGTGGTACAAGAAGAAGTCGCCATCATTCAAGAAAAACATGATATTCNTATCCGGATACAATACTCGTTTTTAAAAGTATCGATACAGTGCCACCACCAGTGGCACCTAAGTAGTCATTCATCTAAAGTGCAGAATAGAGGAAAATGCACTTTCAGAACACTGTGTGATTGAATAATTCTGTGCACTTTTCAGTTTCAGACTTTTTTCTGTAACAGCTGCAGCTGCTGAGAATTATTTTTTGTTTTTTGTTAACCGGTTTGGCTAGTGTCATTGTTATGTGTACAAAGCATAGCCAAGGAAGGAAGGAGTTTTTTATCAAGCTTGCTTAATACTGTACACAGTATACAATCTCAAAATATTGTTCTTATTGTTTATTGTATTTATTTATTGTATTTTAATTATTAATCAAAATATTTCTTTTGAAATTTGGAGTTTTTATCCTTGTGGTATCGAAAATGGAATCGATTATCCAATATTTTCTTTAGTATCGGTATCGAGTTGAAAAGTTTAGTATCGTGACAACCCTAGCTCCGTCACATGCATCAAAATACACCACAGCGTGGTTGGCCAGAAAGAGTCTAAAAGGAGAATAAACAATGACATGGCCACCTTGATCACCTGATCTAAACCCCATCAAGAACCTGTGGTCCTTCATGAAATGTGAGATCTACAGGGAGTGAAAACAGTACACCTATCTGAACAGTGTCTGGGAGGCTGTGGTGGATCATGCACGCTATGTGGATCACAAAAAGATCAAGACACTGACAGAATCTATGGATGGAAGACTTTTAAGCATCATGGTGAAGAAAGGTGGCTATATTGGTCACTGATTTGTTTTTGTTTTGTTTTTGAATGTGTCGCAAATGTTTATTTCTGAATTTTGAGTTATTTTGATTTACCTGGTGAAAATAAACTAGTGAGATGGATATATTTTTTTAATGTTATCTAATAATTCTGCACAGTAATATTTACCTGCATACACAGACATCCTCATAAAAGGGCCAAATCTAAATAAAAACACATCAAGTTCCAAAAATATGAAGCTTTGATATTAAGGAGTCTTTTGGGTTGTTTGAGAACACAATTATGGCCCAGTAATAAAAATAATCCTCAAAATACAACTTGCCTAATAATTCTGCAGTGTATGTGAAATAACAACTTAGAGAATAATTGTATTTTGTCTTGTCTCACCTTTTCATGACATTCAGCATTTCAGCTTAGAAAATGACAAACAGTATGACTTCAGTATAGGAGTAACATTTATTTCACCCAAGGAAAAACACTACATATGAAGCTACAATTTTCCATTTAGCAGTTTTCACAAACCCAAGGTGAGTCCTTCCTGCATTTACATGTATTCTTTGTGCAGTGCACACAACGCTAAGTGCTGTGGTTCCTGTTGCACAGATTGCACACCTGGCCTGCTTATAACAACAATGAAAAAATCTCAAAAAATACAGTTTGGCCCATCTTCCGAAAGTAAGAGTTGTAGTCTGAATTAGATGAGGTTATCTATTTGTGCTACAAGTTTGGTGGCACTACAATGATCTTTAGTGTAATTATTGGCTATTATATGCTTATAATAACAAAGAAAAAAGACCAGATTTGAACTGCTTACCACTCATTCAGTAGAACAATCACCATTAAAAAGTAAGACCATGTTTTATATGTTATTGGCTAGATATTGGCAAGTTATTGGCTAACCAACTTAAAGGCTCCAGTGCCAAACAAAATATCTCCAAAATTCAGTTACCAAGTGACCATGTAACTACAGATCACCTACAAATTAATTAAGCATTCAAGGACTTTTATGCCACCCCGGCCTCCTCCCACAGTCCAAAAACACGACTGTTAGGTTAATTGGCTTCTCTAAATTCTCCTTAGATGTGAGTGTGTGAGTGAATGGTTGTATGTCCTGTTTGTCTCTTGTGTTGCCCTGCGATGGACTGGCGACCTGTCCAGGGTGTACCCCGCCTCTCGCCTATTGAGAGCTGGAGATGGGCACCAGCACCCCTCGGGACCCCAATTGGGACAAGCGTGTCAGATAATGGATGGATGGATAGACTTTTATACCCAGTTATACACTTCAGAATTTGGAGCTGATTGTGATAAGATCTTAGGAAGAAATTAGAAGAACCTATATCCCAGGCAGAAATAACACTAGCTATTTCTTCGATGTAGTCGG